AAAGTGAATGTATGTTTATGTGCTCCCAGGTCATGCTTGATGTATGTTAATGGTGTTCACTGAGACGCTGTACATGCCTCCATACACTCAGGCACCTCTTTGTTGTGTATGTGCCAGTGTATGCGCAAGTGTGTGTTTGTTTTATTTTCCATGTTGTCTGACATGCGGTTGACTGATAGCATTCAGAGTGCTGACAGAGCCAGGTGCGTGACTATCTAGCCGGCCTCCCTGGGGGATGGGTTTAGACTCTGCGTGCGATCGTGTGTGTGTGTGTGTGTGCATGCCGGGAGGGTGGAAGGTGTTTGACCCCTCTTATCTCCAGCACCCCGGCGTGTTTATTTTCACAGCCACAGTACAACCTCAGTGCTGACGTCATGTGACCCTAGGCGGTATCTTTCATATAAACCACACACACATATACACACACATCAACCAGTGTAGGTTACCAACCAACCACCCACTGCCTGGAACAGATAATAAACACATGACATTATTGATTCCATAACCCAGAAATATCTGTTATTCTTACTGACTGAACTGCTATTAGACTTGTTTTGTTTTCCAACAGCAATTGAACCACAGAACACTGACACGAACATCACAAAAGTGGCATCAAACTCAACCAGGAGGAATCCATTTTGAGAACGTACATAATTTAGCACAACACCTGCTGTTTGAAAACTGAAGCTGTGAGTTAAAGCACAGATAAGAGTATTATTTGGGAGGAGGACTGATTACACACAGTGCTGAATTATTGTGTCACAAGCTGCCTGTGGAGAGCAGCACTTAGCAAGTGCGGGTCTAATAACACAATGCTGCTTTCAGCTGCAGATCTCACGCTGTGTGGAGATGGTTAGTACAGTCAACCTCCCAGCTTTCATCCCTGCCTCCTTGACCGCCACCTCCACCTTCCGCCCTCCCATCAGCTGGAATGTGTTCCCTCTCCACCAGATACTTAGTGGCGGTTTTGCCGGAAACCTAGAATAGAGAATCTTTGCTGAGCAGCCTCCACAAGAATAGTCACCGGGGCTTAAATTTAGGTGCGGTGAAGTCTTTTTCATGTCTGCGCCAAAACAAGACGAAGGCATTTTAACAACAGGTTCTCTTTAGTTCTTCTGAAAATGCCTTTGTCTTCGTTTCTTAGATGCACACAGATGAATATGGCTTATTTAATTTGGTCTGAGGCTCTCTACACATTATCAGTGTAAAGAGCTGAGTTACCACCAACTTGTGCCAGGTAGCAGGAAAACAAAGAAACCCAGCAAAGACCATTCATGAGTATTGAGTCAATAAGGCAAGAAGGCACAGGCAATCATCGTCATTCTAAGAAAAAGATGGGTAAGAACCTAATGTTCAAGAAGGGTTTGGGTTCATGAAACTTTTTATCCTGTTCATCACTTTCGGGGTGTGTCACAGACATCTATTTCATTGGTTGCACATTGAAAGATCACAAACAAGGTCAAGTTATAACCAACTAGCACAGAGGCAAAGCACCAAATCTCAGTGGCATGCAATGCCCAAGGTAGAGCTGCTGCAACTTTCGGGATCGTCGCGCTCAAAGCTTTTCAGCTGCTGATTGTTTGTACAGATTCATAGTCAAGGCCGGTCTTTGGAAAATCTTTTGGACAACTTTGAGTCTCATTTTAAATTGGGTCCCCATTTGGATTGACTTATGTTTCCCTGAGTACTCCAGTAGTTTATAAATAGAAATAAATTTGACATTTCAGTATACATGTAAATTGTATTTTTCTTGTTTTAGTCTTGTTCCTGTTTCTGTAGGTTGCTTTGGTCTTTTTCTTTTTGACCAATTGTTCAGACCCTGTTTTTAAATTTGACAGGACCAAATCTTGGAATGGACTTGGACTCAACCCAGGTGGTCTTGACTACAGCTCGTCTGACTGCTTTGCAACCTGACTGCCGCATATTTTGAAATATTACTCAAAGATGATAACAAAAGTTGAGCAATTCAGCATACAGTATGAGCATTTAATCTCTTTTGTCAACATCTTCCTCCCATTGATATCTATTCCATTCTTCACCTCACCCTGTTCCCTCCACATTTCAACCATGACATAGTTGGCTGTTACACTATTTTTAGAGAAGTGGTTGGTCGTGGTAGCCAAACATAAGGGTGCTGACCTGCCCAACTCGATTTGTGTGGATTCAAGTGAACCTGAAATCTGCTTTGCTGCTGTTGACTTTGGAGGGTTTCACTGTTGTTAAACAAGGAACTTTCAGCGCTCTATTACAGTGGTGGGCTTTCTACCTGCAGATAGCAGAGACACTCACATTCCCGCCAGGCAATTATTTTGCAGCGTAAGGTGATTATCTTGATTATCTCCAGAAACCTTTGAAAAACAGGGGGAAATAAGAGGTTGTCTTAAGATCTCTCTGAGGTTTGGTGTTAGCTTGTTTCGACTCAGCACCCCCGGGATGGGACCTCGTCAGAGACGGGTTTCCCGACAGTTCCAGACGGTCCTGGGAAGTTGGATGCCCGCCAAGTGTGCTCCAATCCGTGCAGCTCGGCAGGCAGCAGCAGCCGAAGTCGAAGTTGGACCTGGGCCATTCATTCACGTGGTATCCTGTTGTTTTAGGCTTGTCATGATAGCCCCTGGTGCATGATTGAAAACATGTTGGAGTAGCTGCTGCTATTCTGGGCTGAGGGAAGCAGCGTCCCTATTAAGGCAATTGACTGTCAAAGGCATTGAGGCAGTATGAAAGTGAGTAGAAGAGGAAGCAGCGGTATGTAAAATAAGTATTTCATACTTAACTGATTTCTACAAGAATTTTTTACTTTCACATTTGACCTTCTGGTCAAAGTCAAAGTTCAGGCTCAGCTCTAAAACAAAAGGTTGTACACAGAGACTCTAGACCTGATGGAGCGAGATACATTTTAGGTGTTATGGTTTTTGTGTCAAGGTCACATTTGACAAGCCCTGTGTTTGGTTTTCCTCCCTTCCCCTGCTCCTTTTATTGGACGATGCTGTTCCGGTTTGCCGTGACACTGCAGTGTACCCCTCTGATTCCAGCACATCTCCTCGCCTCTCTAAACTGAACCAGATGGAGGCTTTCCATATAAAACTTTCACTCCCTTTTATGTCTCACATAGAGAAGGGAGCCCTTAGAATAGGGGGGTAAAAAAGTAGCTACATGTCATATTTTGTCTGCTTAATGCAGTCCAAATGCAGTATGGGTTATCTGTCTCTCACCAACCAACAAAGCATTTGATGGAATAAATAAAGTCCCCACTGCTGCATACAGTTGTAGTCTTTGAAAAAAATCTTCTCTCACAGATTTGAATCTGTCCAGGATTAATTCTACTGTCCTTTATGTGATATAACAAACTACACTGCTGAACTGAGAACACAAGGATTTCTAGAGGTCATTTTGTTTGAAGGAGAACATTATTTATTCATTGCTGTGGTTGTCATGTTTGTGAGAGATGCTGTCAGAATCACTGCTGTAGGTCACCTGACTATGTCCTATACCTATTCCAAATGGCAGGGCGAAAAGTCGGCTGTCATAGAGAGGGGCAAGATGCAATAAATCGTTTATGGGGATAACTGGACACACTTTCGAACAGTTTCTGCTTAAAGACAATTGACAACATTGCAGTCAGCTGCACACACGAAAAGGGAGACCAATAATTGAATGAAGCTGCCTTCTTATTAACCTGTGCATACCTAGGCAACCTCCTAGAAAAGCTGACTATTGTCAGATGGTGCTTTAAAAAAATTTAAAAATAAAATTATGGGGTGCCCATATAGCTCACCTGGTAGAGCTGGTGCACCATGTAACATGGTTAAGTTGCAGGCCCAGGGTGTGAATCCGACCTGTGGCCCTTTGCTGTTTGTAATCCCTTCTCTCCCCCTTTTTCCTGTCACTTTGACTGTCACTATCCATTAAAAGGCAATAAAAGCCCCAAAAAATATTAAATCAAATAAAAAAGTTAAAAAATTGTCAGTCGAAGCTGTGCCAATTCCGACATTGTAATCGTGCGGGGGGAAGGTGTTTCTGGCACTTTCCAGCTGTTTGAAGCATAATGAGGACCCTATATTTTTGAAGGTTTCCAGGACTCATTAGTGTGTATTGAATTTAGCCACTGCTGCAATATTCTTGTAATAATACTTGTGACACCTATGTGATATTAATTCATACTTACTCAGTATAATTACTCATTACTAAGTATAATTTAAGTTAATTAAAAATAATAAATAAAGATATTTTTGCAATATATTTGCACTCGCTGAGGCTGTTTGGATTCAGGAAGAATAAAGTGAAATGGGAAGAGTGAGTATGGCCAAGAATGAGATACTGTGAGAGAGACAGAATCCACTCCAATCTAAGGCAAAGAGCAACCACTACTACAACAGGTTCAGCAGTAGGAACCAGTTAAGCAACAAAAGCAGTCTGGTACTTAAATTAAAGTACATTAAAAAAAAACTTTTAGACAGCTTCCATGGCTTCCAACAGCTGTTCATACTGAAATCCTCCTTTTTTTTATTTCAGCCCTCAAATAGTCTTTTTTTAGATTTCCTTATTATGTATAACTGTTAAAGCTTTTTCCCCTCTTTTTACTATTTCTCTCATCAAAGGGAGGGGCAGCTCCAGATGTAGACGGAGAGAGGGCGTCTATTTCTAGTGCTCAGTCTTAGCGTGAGGAGAGGGAGAGAGGGACAGAGAGAAAGAGAGCTGTTTTGACAGTTGTGTTGAGGAGCACCGAACACACACACACACACACACAGAGACACACACACTCAGCCAGGTCTCGGTAATCAGAGTGGTGGTTATACCTTCCAGAGGAGTTCACGCCCCCTTGAACTGTTTTGGCTGACTTTGTGGTACACTTCTGACAGCGAGGGAGAAGGGAGAGAGAGAGAGAGAGAGAGAGAGAGAGTGAGGGAAGGGGAGGGAGGAGTGTTGCTTGTGGGAGGAGAAGGAGGAGGGAGTGAACGGGAGGAAGGAGAAGCTCTCTCAGTTTCAGTGAGTCCTGCTTGCTGTAGGCTACAGAATGAGCGCAGTTGCTTTCCTCTCAGTCTGAGAGGCAACTGCTGTTTTTTTTTCTTTTTCTTTTCTTTTTTTAGTTTTTCCTTCCCTTTCCTGTTCCAGACATCAATAGGAGTCACTGCAGGTTTGTTTCCCTTTCCTCACGGTACTTTTTGGACCTCTCTCACACACTCCTGTGTTATTATTTTTTGTGCCTGGGAAGTACCATGCCGGTGGTTGGTGTAGCCTCCAAGCTCAGGCAACCCTCCGCGGTGGGCACCAAGCCAGTGCATACCGCTCTCCCCATCCCCAGCGCAGTCAGGGCGGCCACCTCGCACGGCTACATGGCCCGGCAGCAGGAGCTCAGGGCAGGTGAGGGCACCCCGGGGCTCTCATGCCAGCTGTCAATCAAGTCAGAGTACCAGCAGGAGAGGACGCCTGAAGGGAAGTCCAGAGCTGAGACAGAGGAGAGCAAGATCTGCAAGGTTAGTGGGGATGGACACACTCTTGCTGTGTATCTGTGTGTGCAGGCAGCGTTGTGACACTCCACAGGTGTCAAGGATCAAAGAGCCAACAGTGTCATTGCTTGTCAGGCTCGCTCCCTTTCTCTCTGTGTCTGCCATGCTTGCTTTCCCCACCTCTGTACGAACAGGTGTCTGTCTCTGGCTCTGAGTTCAAGCACACAGTGATGAGTCATGTGTGCTATGGTGGGATGATGTCGCTGTGTTTTTCTGCCATCAGCTAAGAGGGGAAACTAGATGAGTAATGTATTGCTGTGAGTGTATTACCTCATCCTGCTGCCCATTCAGTCTGCACATAATTTACTAATCACTAGTGTGTGTGTGAGAGTGTGTGTGTTAGTGGCAGGACAGGTGAGTTTAGAGGTTCTATTGTGTGTTTTGCAGTATTTAGTGGAGACTATTAAGACCTTTACCTGGAAAGTGAACCGTGTCTGTTCTTCTATGGGGAGGTTATCTAATACAAGGGTAATGGGTGCTACCTGAGAAGCCCCAAAGATTAGGGGAACATGGTCTGAATACACTTTTTTTTACCCTGTTCCCCCCGTGCTGTCTCTCATGTAGGGTAATATTTCAGATAGATCACCAGCACTGCCCCCTAAATCCCAGAGCATATTCTTAATACCCAGCAGGATCAAAATATTGCAGATGCTTTAATAGACGCACAGAGATCATTGTTAAGTGGTTCGCCATTCTAAACTAAAGCCGGGCCAAGTTCTTTCCTTTTTGCAGAATTGTTTGGCTCAGTTCCTCAGGCTGCAGCAGAGAGGCGGGGTTGGTCCGTCCTGAGGAGGAAGGAGTTTTCAAAAGTCCCCGCCAAATAGTTTCAGCAGTGCCTCAGCCCGTCCCACATCCACAACTGTCAGACTGAACAAACTGAAACTTTCCTGTTTGGCCAGTCTCTCCTCCTCCCCTCTCCTCCACCCGCACTGCCCCTTTCTACCATTAACAAGACTTCCCAACAGAGAGAAAAAAACGAAAATGAAAAGACTCCCTGACCCTGATTCTTTTTCTGGCGTTCAGACTTTTGATACTGAACAAAGCTGCTGATTTTCCTCGTGACCTAGAGGAAACGTGTGCAGGAGACATTAGAGTGCGGGTCAACGCTCCCCTGCCTCCAAATCCTCCCAGCGTGTCCGTGACGGAGTCCAAATCACCTGCAGGGTGACTCCGAGGGGAGAACGGTTTCATCATTAACCTGCTGCTGAACTTACAACTTCAGCTTGACTTTCAGCTTGTTAACACAACTGAGTTCTTAAAAAAACTCCTGCTTGGTCCAATAAACATGGCTCTTACAATTGTTGTTTTTTATCTGAGTTTGAAGAACATGAAGCTGCAGACTAATTTGACTTGTTTCTCAAATCATATTCTGAAAATTAAATTCTTCCTGCAGTCTTACCCACACCTTCCTCCTCAACCTGTGTGCTTGACTTGTTCCTCACAGAAATGCATGCAAGTGAGCTCTAGCTCCGACCCTTGCCCTTTCTATGTAAGATTTGCTTCTTGTTCTGGGGTTCCTATGGATAGAACATCCACTAAATTGTCTACAATCAGTGCACCACACAACAGTCCCTGTCCTTGGGAAGCTTGTAGGCAGACAGAACTCTCATGCCTGCCCCAGCCTGTCAGTGTGGGTGAGGAATTGGTGGTATGGAGGGGGTAATTAGTCTGTCTAATTGTGTTGTGTAGTCCCCTAAGAGCTTTACTCTTGGGGCTTTCAGAGGAAAAAAGCGAAAGAAGGTGGAGTAAACGCTGTCATTACTCCTTCACAGTAACCAGCACTCCTTGTTTAGTTTAGAGTTCTATTATCATGGAGGATCAAGCGTAGGATTGCGTGTGTGTGACTGCATGCTTGTTTGTGCGCATGCAACCCCCCGTACATACAATAGCATGCCAGCATGTGTTGGCTTGTTTGCCCGAGGTTAAATTTATGTGTGTGTGTTTGCCAAAGCTGGCAATTTCATTGAATTGGTGGTGTTGGAAAAATCCACCTGTCTCATCAATAAAGAGGTTAATGGAAAGAGTATTTGACCATTGATGCATTTATAATAAACACTGTGTTATTTTATTGTGGCTGTTGTGCGGAACAACATGCAGTCAGCACAACTGTGAAACAGGACTGAAATCTCCCATATCACCTAAGTTTGAAGCAGCCAGAAATGCAAGAATCAGCACCTCAGTCCTGACAGTATTCCTGTGCCTGCAGAATGATCACGACACAAGTACAAGAAAAATAACTAAGAGGGTTAAGCTCTAAGCAGAGAGGAAGAAGGGATTTGTTTTTTCTTTGGTGTGGTGTTTGCAGAAGACAGCAGGCCCGATGTTGTTTCGAGCAAAGCCAAGTCCAAGTGAATCTTAAGACAAACTCTGCTGAAACAAATTCGATCTCTGCCTTATTGAATGACTGCGGCGTTGCTCATAGATGGAGAAAGTGCACAGAAGTGATGCAGGGTGCTATTTGAGTGTCTAATGGTGTGTGAAGGGTACAATTAAGCTGCCCGGACAAGGTTAATTTTGGACACCATTCAGAATCATTTGTGGTTAATCTCAGCTTCATTAATACAGTCTGGGTGTATTGTGTGATTGATAATCCCCGGATATACAGTGAATGTACAATAGACTGCACCTACTTTGTACTTGTACTTGTTGTACTTTGTACTAAGTGTGCACAAGTTGTGTCTGTGTTTGTGTGTTTCTGTGCACAGGTGTTACCTTACATGTGTTTGTAACTGCTTCATGTTGGAAGCACAGCTGTCAGGTTTTTGAACATTGTGTGATTTGGCAACCAGAATTGAAGTGAGGTCATCTGCAAATTGCCTTAACTTTTCACTGACTTAATTTGACTCGTTGAATTTTTAACCATTAGTATAGGAGATTTAAGTACTTGCAAATGTTTTACAGCTCTCACGTCACAGCATCCATAGTTATAACTGTCGTAGGAGGAAATATTGAATTGAATTGAAAGCCCTTATTGTCATTGTACACAGTAGTATGGTAACGTTAAATCAACTTTCTTTTAACGTACAAACTAACATGTACAAACTACCTGAAATAACTCTTCCTAAGTGCTGTGAGATAGCTGAAAATGTGTTTTCATCTTTGCAGTAGTCTTCTAGGAAATACATCCTGATGGCATCACATCTTTTTGAATGTGATGCAGCTGATCACGTTTGCCGCCTGCGCGTCTATAAGTTCCCCAGCTAAATTACATGGCTCTGACAAACATTAGCAGCTGGCTAGGTTCTTTGGTGGTGTTTTGCAACACCTGCTCTCTTCCGAGGGCTCCCGTCTGAATCCACCTATGATTTGGGGCTGTCAGTGGACTCCCATTTTCCCTTAATGATGGAGATGAGAACAAGGCAAGACACTTGCGTTTTCTGTTGTACTCTCCGCTGACAGTTCACATCAGTCACTGCCTCTGGCACTGCGGGATGACGAGTTGGAATGAAGAGCTTATCTGAGTCTAATGAAGTGTCAGCGCCACCACCACTGATAGGGAATTATCTTGTGCATCAAGAGTTTTGGCAGCTGTCCAAATCTCACAGCCCAGGGACTTATTTAGTGGGTAATGAGTGAGTTCTTTTTGAGATAGAACTGAAGATTGTGTCACACCTTTTTATTAATTCTGAGACAAACAAATGATGTTGATTGGATTCATCTTTAGTCATCCTTGAATAATTGTGGGTGCCTATGAGATTTATCTAAAGTTATGTCTATTCACTCCTTGATGCTTCCCCATGCTTCCAAATTACTTGCGCCTCTCTCGGAGTTAAATTTATTTGATAATCTGCTGTGCAAATGTCACATTCAAAGTAATGACATTCCAGTGCCGAGCTCGCTCCTCTGCTCTCTGGGCCTTTTTTGGTCTTGACCATGAGAATACAGCCAATTACTGAATCGAGCTCCCCAGTATGATGAAGACTTGGTCAGGTCAGCTTCCAAACACCAATTAGTTTAGCATTTAGACTCACCACATAAGTCCCTGTTTTTATTACGTACTTACTTTGTCCATCCCCAAGAGAAAAATGTTTGGGAAACTTTTACAGGTCTCGTAACTATTCTGTTTTGAGTTTTGTTAAAATACAACGCCTTCACAACTTTGGGTGCAGGATAAATGCTCGAATGGAGTATTTACAATACCAGAAGTACCTGTTGTAAATCAATTTTAAAGTTATATTTCTCTGCTGCCTTTCTACCATGGCAAGCCCTCTCTTGTGTCAACAGAATAGAGTCATATTCTATATGGTGAATGTGTCTTTATCTCAGAAATGCAGCTCATTGTATACAGCCGCTGTGACCGTTGCAAGCTGCCATTTCTGCTGGCCTCTGATGTCAGTAAAATGTCATCCTGGAATGTTGCTCGTCAAGAATAAGTACACAAGTGTTTGCCGGAAGCACGGACCAGTGCCAGACACACTCACACACTTAGAGAACAAAATACATCCTGTTGATTCTCTTTCTGCATGTGTTTCAGTGTGTGTGTTGTGTAAGGAGAATAATCAGGGTTTGTTGTTGTATATTTTTCTTGTTCAGTGCATCTCCTGCTCCGGCCTGATAATGCTCTAGGCAACAACATGGGTGGGTTCAAAGTAGGAAAGTGAGGTGGAGTGCCTCAGGGAATAATGTCGGGGTCTAGTGAGTTTGAGTGAGTGAGTAGAATGTAAACAGACCTCTGCTTTCCCATTTCTCTTTCTCTGGGTGGGCCCAATACTGTCTGTTTCTCTCGTCCTCTTTCTGTCCCTTTTTGTTTTTTTAACACTCTCACACTTTTTCTTCTGTTTTTCTGCCCTTGTCTGCATAAATTATTGCAAACACACTCCATAAAGCATTCAATACATTTACAGGCTTTAGAGTGATATCTCCCCAGTAATTGCAGTTTGGTGGTGTATAACTATGACAAAATTGACATGAAATGACAAAAATAAAAATACATAGACTTATACTTGCACTGCACAGCTTGATTATAA